GATCTGCGGCGGATTGTATTAAACGCACTGCTGCTGTTTCTTATCTCCTTGTGTCTCCGCTGCTGCCGCCGGTTAATCAGTTCTTGACGCTGTTTTCGAAGATGTCGCTTGATGCGAGTGCGCAGATATCATCGGCATCTGGGGAATGGAGACAGGGACAGATACCCTGTCCCAAGCCGGCAGATCAGCTGTGTGCGCATGAGACATTGGCTATCTTTGGCGACGAGGATACATTCACGTCGGCGAGTAAATTAGAGAAGTGGTCAGCCGAACTGGCCCATGCACCGGGGAGTAGGTTCCAGGCGGTGGAGATCGAGGGAGCCGGTCATTTCTGGAGAGAACATGGTGTCGAAGCTCAGGCGAGACAAGCTATCCGGGACTGGGTGTGTCAGATGTCGACATCTTGATAAGATGGCTGGATTGTTTTGACATGTGTGGGTGGTCAGCCTGGTTTTATCGTGTCCCACTTCGAGTCTAGATCATGTGTGTCTAAGATACGAGAAGCTTGCGTGATAAGAGTGCCAACCAGATGGTGGATTATCTCTCCCCCTTCACATGCAGGGACAGGGGTGGACGGAGTGGTGAAGCATGTGAAGCGGGCGTGTGTGGCTCGCCTGACCGTTCCGACAGAGGAAGGTCCCCTCCATGGAAAGAGCTGATTCCGACGAGCATCCATTTCGGGTATGTTTCAGCTGCATTTTGCATGATCCTGTATGCCACGGTGTCTTTGCAATGATGAGTGAGGTCTTTTTGGTCTCTACTCGTTCATCGGAGAGATCATCAAACCCATGACGCAAGACGTTCCGCTCTGCTGGGATTTCATATTTTGTCGCAAAACTCTCGAGGAGCGAAAAGGCTGGAAAATACATACAGCATATCCTTATAGGATCCGAAAGCTTGAACCATCCATGCCAGGCCGGTGAACCAAGGTTGCCATCCCAGGTCCGCTTCAGCGCTGTTCCCGATCAGGCTGGATCTGACACCGGGTAATAGTCTAGGGCATGAGGTGGGAGCCCTTTTGAGTTTTGCTGATCTGCAGATTTTAGCATGCAAAAGGAATGCAGCAGAGAATTGTGGGGATATGATATCACCGGATGTATCGGCCATCGGATGAAGAAGTCGCCATCGCACACATACTTTGACACAATGATACAAATGCCGATCGGGGATCTGGTGTCGGGGTCCACTAGATAAGAGTCTAGTGTTGTGGATGAGGACATGGGGTGTTCATCGATGATGATAAGATGGAAGATGAAGACTGGTTCTAGGCTCTTTGAGCAATAACCCGCCATGTTGTTTCAGTGAACAATAGAATACTTGAAGAGTAATTCCCAACTCCATCCCGTGACTGGGGCGATCGGCAGCACCCGCTGGAAAGCCGGGGGACCAATCAGACATCCGGGGAATGCTGCCTCGTGACGTCTGGAGAGAAAGAGTGGCCATTTTCTCTCTCGCGGTCATCCCTGGCAGCAGACCAGGCAAACTAAAATGCATGGATCCGGCTGACTGACGGATGGGCTGGCCTTGCCTCGTGCCTGACCTGCTAAAGACGCAGTGCACGAACTCTTGCGGCTACTTCTATCTACTTCCTGCTGTTGCTCCGACTTACATTCCCAACATCACCAACATCCTCCCTTCCTTTCACTTCTTTACTTCTGCCTATCAAAGTACCTTTCGAATGCTTTTTCGGGCCTAATTCGCTAAGATCTCCGATTTGCCTACCCCGGTTTAGGCACCCTCTCCAATCCAAACTTAGTTTCCCCTCCATCTCCGCACCGATGCGAGCCTGATGCACCCTGAAGTCGGTCATGTCCATCCTGCATGATTCCTCCCTTGTTCGACCCCAGTGTCATGTAAAGGGCAAACCGCGCTCTCTGGAGACGCCAAATAAACCCCGTCGCTCCGTCCTTAAGTCTGTTTCTCTCCCGTCGCTGTCGGCCGTCGTCAAAAACTCATTGACATGGGCGGGGGACACGTGGGGTTCCTATGGGAATGGCCAGTCCCAGAAAGAACGCAGACTGCGCGCTGCTGTGGATGAGCGAAAGGAGGCTTTGTACCTCAAGAAGCGCAATGTAAGTTAAAGACAGCTTCACACGATTCAGGATCAGCCGGCATGGCTGTTAGCTAATGTCTTTCAGGCTGTGACCTACGAAGAATGGCGAGACGCTGCGAGCGAACTGGATGAGTTGGAGAATAACTCTGCTTGGAAGGAAACGTTCGAGTGCCCCGACTATGACCCTCATCTCGTGCTCGATCGTCTCAAGCAGCTGGACGATGCCCGGATTAACTGTGATATCAGTCGCATGTTGTTCCTCATCCGCACGTCCCTGAGCCGCGATCTGGGCAACATGAGCAACGCCTCTCTCTACAAGCATGCTCATCTCGGAACCAAGAACCTCATCGATCAATACATTGACACCGCTCTGGAAACAATATTGTCATTGGTTGAGCTGGCGGATAAAAACCGGTGCGATGTGGTGGAATCCAGGTATATCCTGGACCAGTTGCTCGCAGCGAGACAGGCTTTCGGGCGAAGTGCGCTGCTCTTCTCCGGGGGAGCCACTTTTGGCATGAATCATATTGGCGTACTAAAGGCTCTTTGGCAAGCTAACCTTCTGCCGCGAATTATCTCGGGCGCGTCTGCGGGCAGCATTGTGTGTGCCGTCTTCTGTACTCGCACTGAGGATGAGCTGCCGGCTTTGCTGGACTCATTTACAGAAGGGGACTTTGCTGTTTTCGGCGAGGGGACTGAGGAAGATACTATCCTCCAGAAGACAGCCCGGTTTTTGAAATATGGGTCATTTCTGGACATCTCGCACCTAGCCAAGGTGGTGAGAAATTGGTTGGGCGACATCACCTTCCAGGAGGCATATAACCGAACACGACGCATCCTCAACATTTGCGTTTCCAGTGCTGGCATCTACGAGCTACCCAAGTTGTTGAACTACATAACTGCGCCCAATGTATTGATCTGGTCTGCTGTGTATGGTCCCCCTTACACAATACCGACTGTTTTCAAACCTATAGGATTTGATGCTGACTTCAACAGGGCCGTCTCATGTTCAGTCCCGGTAGTCTTTTCGCCGTATGCCCTTATGGCTAAGGATCCCCTGACAGGAGAACCAGTTCCATGGAGCGACCTTCATAGGCAATATATTGATGGCTCCGTGGACGGTGACCTCCCTATGACTCGTCTGTCGGAAATGTTCAACGTCAACCACTTCATTGTATCGCAGGTCAATCCCCATGTCGTTCCATTTCTACCCAAGGATGATGGACCAGATCCGTATATGGAGAACTCTTTCACCGCTTCTCGATGGATCCGGAGTATCACATATCTTGCCAAGGATGAGATCCTACATCGGATGACAGTCATGTCCGAGCTAGGGATCTTTCCCACGTCTTTGACCAAAACAGTTTCGATTGTCAACCAGAAGTATTCCGGAGACATCAATATATATCCGGAAATTCAGTATTCTCGGATTCCCGTCATGCTACGCAACCCGACGACGGAGTTTATGCTTCAAGCATGCCTAAGTGGCGAGCGGGCCACATGGCCCAAGCTTGGACGAATACGCAACCACTGCGCCATCGAATTGGCGCTGGACTTGGCCATTCAGAAAATGCGGGCTCGAGTGGCCTTCTCCCCGAGTCGCGTCCACGCAAGAACAGATAGCAATGCTGGCCATTCGATCGAATCCCTCGACAGCAGTGGAGGCCGAGGACGTTTGTTGAACCGGAGAAGCTCCTATAACCATGAAATTGAAAAGATCAAACATGCCCGCCACGATCCAGGCCGGCGGACAAGACCATTTCTTCAAAGGTCCCGCAGCGTGTTGCTATCCGAACAAACGCACCGAATCGACTCTGTGGCCTCAGCCAGACTGGATCAAGCAGTGCAACGGCGCCGTCAAAGCAATCCGAGCCAAATTTTCAACACCGGGGACGGATTTTATAGTCCTTGTTCTGAGAGCGACGAACATAGTGAGGAATCCTCCCCTCCGACCCGCGTCCCGCTAGAAAGGCATGTTTCATGGGAACCGTCATCATCCGACGACCCGCCTTCCGATGAGGCCACCCCTAACGGCAGCGCACAGTCACCACATCCATCCTCTCCCATTCATATAGGACGGGTGACTTCGCAGCGAGCTCCTGTATGGCCTCCAGACCTATCTGTGCACGCGATGCCAACGACACCTGAGCCATCGTTGCCACCTTCCCCTCACCACCTGCGGATGACGCCCAAAGCCTATGTCTCCAATCCCACTTCTCGTAACTTCTACAACTGACCAAATATATATTGCTTGATCGCTCATACTCAGTTGTCACGTATGTGCTGGAACACTGCGATCAACAGAGAACATAAAGATGGGAACTTTCCTTTCGGTGTACATACTACATATTGATGAGGACATTTTGGCTTGGTCGGATTTACTAGCTTATTGAGCAGTTCATGCGTTGGCTCATGGCAATAGGTCTAGACGGGGATTGCATTTTAGAATCATACGTTAGGAGTGAAGTTCTTTTTCCATGGGGGTAGTGATTGGATAGACACCACGCCTGGGCCTAGACTTTCCTTTCATTCTAGAGGTTGATTCGCTGTTGGCTACATCACTACCACAGAAATAAAGCACCACCGTACTGCTCGGTCACCTAGCATGCCGAACATCAATCCGACGTAGATGAACTAAGAACATGTCTTGCTCAAGGAACATTACCAAATCACAGCCCCGGCACCCCATTATAAGACTCAGAAATTAACCCTTCGATTGACTCAGCAATACTAACTCCTACATATATGTCTTGGAATAGTATTCAAAAGGTACGTTCATTAAGGAAGACGCTTGGTAACAGAAGTAGCTACAATTTCTTCAATTCATCCGAGGAGCCCACTAGCATATTAGTAAAATAAGCTACAGGCGCACACGTCTATATAGTCATTCCGAAAAAGATATAACGATGTTTAGTTTATCTGCCAGGTTAGTAAATGTGGTACCAGCGGAGTGGAAGTTGTATTTGATGGAGGTAGCTATGTCACTTTGCTGTGCGAGATTTAGTCATTGGCCAAGGAGTATGTGATTCTTGAATCTATTGGTTAAGTCGGCAGTGGACAATAGATTGAGCCGGGAAGGATTGTTGGAGATACTTAGTTACTTGCACTGGAAATAATAATCCCAAAAAAAAAATAAAATAAAATAAAAAAAAAATAAAAATAAAAAAAATAAAAAAAAAAATAAAAAAAAAATAAAATAAAATAGAAAAAATAAAAAAAGACAACGAAAATAGAATGGAGCTGTTAACTTGTTTCGGAAAAACCGAAACTGGAATCATCTATATGCTCGTCAATAGTAGTATCTGCCACTGATCTCCTTCAATCGGAAACACTTTCTTGGACTGGGTGTAATCCGCTGCTGCCTATACAGGTACAGGATAGCACCTGGCATGAATATAGCTGGATTTGTAACAGCAGGCGAGACACAACCTGGTTACGAATGGCCAAAGGGCTGACTGAATGTCGGCAATGTGGACTGTGATGTTGTAGTTTGCGTAAGTGATGCCATGGTACCAGGTTGCGAGAGGAATTGAGCTTGCTGCGGTTGCTGCTGTGGTGGTTGCACCTGCTGCAAGGTATAGTTGTCGCTGTTTCCGCTGTTGCTTGGCATCTGAGGTTGGGATTGCAGGGTCAACTGTGGACTTGGCTGCTGCTGCTGCTGCGACTGTTGCAAACCATAGCTATTATTGGTACTTCCGTTGCTGAGCACATGGAATTGTGGTTGCAGAGTAGATTGTGAGCTTAGCTGTTGCTGCTGTTGGAATGGCTGCCCAAGTTGCTGACCCAGTGGGTTAGGCATGGGCTGCATACTGGCCTGGAGGTTCTGACCGTTACCCATATAGGTCTGACCGCCGCCCAGGCCTCCCATTTTCTGAGTGGTCTGGTGTCCGAATGGTGAAGATGTCGATTGAAGGAAACCTCCTTGGGGGTATGCTGGCTGAAAGGTGGTGCCTTGCGGAGGAGGCTGCGAGTAGAGCCCTCCATATGGATTATAGCTAAAATCGTCTCGTCGGACCATGGAGTTGCGGTTTCGCTCCGCATCGTCTTGCATATTTTGGGTACTCCAAATATAATTGCTAAACTTGTCCGACAGTTCAAAAACCTTCTCAAAATACATCGTGCTGAGCTCGATTTTGGAGGCCGTGTGAGAGTTGTATGTGGCCAGCGCAAGGGCACTTTGGAAGGCATTGCGAATCTGCCGGCCGTTCCAAACAGGACCCGATCCTGGAAGCTGCTGGCGTTGGAATATTCCCTTCGCATATTGGAGCAAGGATTCCTTGTTGACTATGATTCCCGCGCGGACCGCTTCATCGATGTGGCCAGACCAAATATCGTGGGTGGGGGGCCAGTCTAAGGACGGGTAGTAGAGAGACATATGAATGCGAGACTTGAAGGCTTCATCGAAGGTTCCCACACGGTTGGTGGTGAGGAACAATATTCCCTCATAGTATTCCAATGTACGAAGGAAAACTAGGTATCCCGGAGTTAGTGATCTTCCCGAGCAAAGAAGAGAGAAAGAAGACTTCTATCCTACCTGAGACGAGGGCATTTCTCTCGGCGTCAAATGCCCGGCGTTGAGTTAAGAACACATCGGCTTCATCAAGAAGCATGATGCACTTCCAATCCTGAGCGAGTCGAAAGATTTCTTTGAGTCTTTCTTCCACATCGCTAGCGGTGAGTCCAAGATCTCCTACATCAAATGAAAATCCAAGTGTAAGCCCCCTTCGACAGTATCGGCATTGAAAATATCTATCTTACCACATGTGACAGGCAGTAGAGGTCTACCGGTACTTATGGCAGCACATTCTATTTGTTTTAGATTGATTATCGTCAGCATTGGGTACGCTTAGGCTAAAAAGAGCTTGCGCAGCCTACCAGCCGTAGATGTCTTCCCTACTCCGGGTACTCCGTGTAAAAGGATTGTCACTCCATTCCCTATCAGACACATTAGAACGAACGATGAAGAAGGCGATGGAGGTATATAAAGTATATAGACCTGAGCAACTTACCCTTGTTCCTGAGCAAGTCAAAATGGACCCCACTAGACGTTTGTCGGGCAAAATGCGCGTGAATTAAGGACTGAACCATGTCCTTGTGGCCTTCCGGAAGGCGTAATTTAAGCCATGGGTCGCCTTTGACTTCCCTCTGGCGCAGTTGTTCAGTCCCATTTGGCCCTCGTCCAATCTGGAGACAAGCTGTGAGTGGGTAAAAGAACCCGCATTGTTAGCCATGAAGCAACCGCTGAGAGCAGGCTACACATAATGAACATACCCCATCGCCTGGTCGAAAGCACAAAGGCAAAGACCCTGTCAGGAAGGATCAACAAGTCATCATCAGCTGGGCCACCTCCAACTTTGACCCAGGATTCCCACACTTGAGCCTGGGCCTCCATAAAGTCATCTGTAAATCGTTTATCCCAAGCCTCATCATTCTCGACTCCGGGCCCTCCTTCGGTCTCAGCCCTGTCGGTATCACCAAAGTCATGTTCGCCGGTCATCGGGCGCCACCACGGGATCTCCTCCAACGCGCGTGCAAAGTCTACGATCACATCGCTGTCGATGTGCTCGGAGTAGAAGGAAGCGCTACGGGGAATTTCGTCGACTAGCTCGGTCAGCTTTTGCCCTGTGGGAGTCAAGTAGTGGCACCGGCCAGTGTAATCCAAATGGTGAAACCTTTTCGTGCAATCGAAGAATTGTCTCCCTCGGGCCATCAGGTACTCTCGGTCTGTGAAACCTTCCTTTTCCGCGACAGCGAACGGGAGAACAGGGAGGGACTTGATAGCTTGAGTGCCATCGAACCCGTTTATTGTCACTTGGTTGAAGACGGGAATGAACTTGGTCCCATCGAAGTCCACATAGAAGCAGTCCAGCACAAAGGGAGCCCATGTGCCAGTGGTTTGATCGGTGGTGCGACGCGACTCGCCCAGGTAGCGGCGGCCCCCGGTTCGCTGCACCACCTTCCAGATCTTTTGGGGAGCATTGCTGTTTCTGATGTACACCAACGTTCCTTGCGCAAAGAGAAACCAGAGATCGACGAATCGCACCATCTCCGGCGCAGCAGCTAGGCTCGCCTGAGCTGGACCAAGGGTCTCATCCATGAATTGCGTCAGGCATCGGAGATCCATGATCAATGCGGTGAGCTCGAAGAGATCCAACGACGACGGATCCTCGACTGCATCCTTATAGAAATTGTCTTCTACGGTAGATTTGTCCAAGACTTGCATGCCCCCTTCTAAATCGTCCTGCCTTTGCTTCAAAGCAGTTTCCAATTCTGTCAACCTGGTCCGAATATTCTTTTCGAGATAAACCAATGATTTGAAGGGCCGAAGAAGCTTTAGGGGATTTGTAGTGTCATAATCCAGAGCCCCATTGCAAAACTCGTGATTGAAAAAGCTCATCAACCGCTTCGAGTTGATCTTGATTCGTTCCGGTAGCGTAGTTAGCGGAAGAGGGTCGCTTGATTCTTTGCTGAAGGCAGCATTTGACCAGCGGTTGCGGCGCATGAATATGATATCGCCCACTGAGGGCTCGGTATTCGGGATCTCAAGGGAGAAATACTTGGTAGAGAAAATGGAGGAGATGGCCGTTTCGCCCCAACTGGAACGATGGATCTCTGGGACAGAGGTCCGCATATTCCTTTTCTCTTCATAGAGCGACTCGGCTATTTCGCTATTAAGTTTGCGTAACCCAGCCATTTGTTCAGAAAGGCAGTGAATGATATCAACTATGTTATTCCTCCAGTCAAATTTCGCAACTTCGAAAGCCTTGTCTGCTTGATCCTGTAATTGTTTTAATTGCGATATCGACTGGTCATTGGCATTGAACCACTTCTCCACGGCCGATCTAGGGATGATATCAGATTTGGGTCGACCGTGTGGCGTTGAGTGTTCCTCTGCATTGTCATCATCACCATCATCCGCCGGGGGATTTGTCCTCAGTGAGAGAAACACCCCAGTTGTAGGGTTTGAGTTGGTGACAACTGCGGCATCTTTCTCCATCGTGCAGGTATTCTATCTCATCGAATTAGCATTGGCTGGCTGGATAAGTACTTCAAAAGTCTGTACAAAACATGCATTTTCGGCCATTTTCTCTACAGCTGCTATTGTCTTCGAATTACTTCGTGGGACAAGCAGATAAGGGAATGCTGGATGAGACTGATTCTGGAATATCCAAGATCCTTGGGAATAGAGCAATGGGACAAGTACTACAGTCAATGGCAAGGAATTTAGAGCAGTATTTATAAACCAGTCGCAGGTTCAGCTGAACCCACACTGGTGTCTACTACTAAGAGCGAGTAATTAGGTGCGCTGATAACCTGTGGGTGCCGCTGCACACTACAATAGCCAATAGTTTAGGTGATTGGCCGTTGCATTCTCCACGTTTGTGGAATGGTGCAATAGGATGTGCAGTACTTCATAATATGGTCTGCTAAGAAGGTTCCAGCTGAAACTCCTTGATTACAAGAAAAAGCAACGAGTAACTTGGGCAGACATGCATGCGTCCAATGAACCCCGATGAACCCCGATCAACACCGATGAACTTTGATAGGTAGTCTGTACGCATGTCTCTTCGGGGATGCCATATGAACAATTCATTCGGCCCATTTACCCCTCTGCATGCTTGATATGTGCTCAGCTTTAATCACCCGCCCGTAAAAAGATCCTCTGAACATGTTTGACACCGGGAACATGGAAGACAGCATGGCCATAGTCACACCCTGGATGAAGCACAATGCTCCCAGGATTGATCCAGCGTGGGCATTCGCAGAAGCGCAGCGCAAGAGGGAGAACAACATTCCTGATCCTCCACAACAGTGAGTTCCCAGGTCGTTATGAACTTGTTGATGTTGGGACTCACCATGTGTTTCGCGAACTGGCAGTGTTCAAGATCGAAAGAATAGATTCAAGTCTGCCATGAGAGAGTTGTTCCGGACTACTTCAGATATCCAGGCCAAAGATATCTTCGAACATACCCATACATGGGAGGAGGTTCGCGCAGAGGCCCAAAAAGCGCTGGATTTACGGTATAAACCCAGCGGAAAGAAAAACTTCTTTCGGAGATCAATACGAAGCATGGGAGAAACTGCTTCCCGATTGGAATTTCTTACTGTGCTGGTCCCCAGTGGAGACTATATGGGCGTTCTATGTGGAGGGCTCAAGCTGGTTTACAATGTACGTGTTAGCGCATTTCTCTATTGTCGTACCTCTTTGCGTTACTTCCCTGATTTACTATATGCCATACACTTGCTCTGTCATTCCAGGTCGCTCAGAATATACTAGGCAGCAAATCGTTTGAATACCGTCCGCGACATTATTCTAGGATCTCTGGAGACTTTGTCTCGGCCAATTGAGGATGCCTCACCCTACCTGTATGCCTACTCCTGGAGCGAGACGCTTTTGGAGAAAGCTAATGACCTTTACATTTGCATCTTGGATGCGGTCGAGGCAATTATGAAGTGGATCTCTAAGAAAAGGAGCGGTAAGAACTGCACCCCCATTGTTTTGACTCAGCGTCTCACAATCGTCTAGCCTTTCGAGGTATGCTGAAAACAGCGAAGGCGATCGTTCAGCAAGATGACTATGGAGCCCAACTCGAAGCTACGATCGGTGCCAGTGTCGACGAGAAGGCAAAGGCTTTTGAAACAGCCGTCAAGTCCTGCTTGAGCATCGAAGTTCATGATATGGGCCAAAATGTGGTATGGATCGGCCAAGGGCAGGATGCAATAAGAGGGGATCTGAAGCACCTGATCCAAGCTGCAGCATCTTGGGAGAGATGTGAGGCCATTCTACGGGGTTACATGGAACAGATACAATCAAGTGAGTTTCAAAGTGTTTCGAAACGCCGAGCAGGTGGGCGCATTTCTTATTGCTGCTACTAATCTCTCTATCCAGTACTTGCATACCATGCCGCGATGGCTTCTCAGGCCACTCAGGCATGCATCACGATTGAGCAGCTCCTCACTGCTCTCCATTCGGCGGAACCCTTCCCTAGTGCTGACATTATACACCGGACGGTCGGAACCATCACTAATGAGAGACGGAGGCTACTGATCTCAGCGAGTCTGCTAGGCGTTGATGCCGAAGACCAGGTGACAGGCGTTCTGCAGGATTCCCGATTTTGCAACTGGCTGCAAAGAATGTATTCTCAAGTCCTTGTGGTCTCCAATGTGGAGCAGGATATTCTGCAAGAAAGCCCCATCTCACCGCTAACCTACATGTGTTCGGTATTATTGAAATCTCTCACCCCATCTGAACCAGTGATACCAATCGCCTTCTTCTGCCGGCAACACTGCAGCACGCAAGGTGGCCTGGCTGGAGTCACGGAGATGTTGAGATCTCTTATTGAGCAATTGACTCTCGCTCTCAACGAGTCTATGCGCCTAGATCTCAGCTTTTTGCTAGAGGATGATCTGGACGCCATCGCGAAGCAAGATGTGATGTTCCTTTGCCGCCTATTTGCCGAAGTGGTCAAACGTATCCCAAGCGGGGTGGTCATATGCATCATTGACGGTATCGACTTTTTTAGCAACCAGATTCATCTACCATGGCTGAATGTGATTATGCGGTCTTTCAATGATCTCATGGGGTCTGTCACTGGGAGCCTGGTGTTCAAAATATTGCTTACCAGCCATCGAGGAGCCAGTCTTGCCTCACAGTGGTTTCCCTGTCGGGTGGAATTACCCATGCACAGGAATGAGATGTTAAATGGTATTGGAGTTATTATGAGGGAGATGCAGTCAATCTTCTAGGAAACCTCATATTGTACTCGGGCTTCAATGGGCGGATGCGGAGCATAAGGCGCACCCGGTGGGTTCACACGCTCCACTGTACTTTTCCATTCTATCTAGGGAATATCTGGGAACATTCAAGAATTGCAGGTGATGAACCAGTGCTTTTTTCTTTCGAATACTGTCTCGGATATCTTGATTGCATAGAGGGAACATGGTTCTATAATATGTCTTCCATGAAAGGTTAAGTCGAGTTATTTAGCTACAGCCTCCACTGTTCTTAGTCTTAAATCTACTGTTACATAACCGACTTTTCCTCCAAAGAGTATAGCTTACAAAACTAGTATGGACTCCATAACCTGCTAAAGTCTTGTACAGTTCAACAATATATTCCAGGTTAATACCTCACAACCAGAAGCCCCGCACAGCTTAGTAACAGCACAGTAGCAGGCCCTATCACACAACCATCGAGTCCAGCTCCAAAAATAGAAGATCGCAAGGAAGCACCACCTGCCATTGGCTCCCAACCCTACTTACCGACCAGATGAAACGCCGGATGGGATGAAGTGGCCTCCCAGCCAGATGGAACAGAGTGTGAGTGGTTTCAGGGCCAGGGGGAGGGGTTCCCGGGCGCGACGCTGCTGCAAGTGACCAACTAGTGCTTCTAAATCCGTCCGCATTAACCACCATTCTTTCCCCGAAGCCGGGCGGTTAATTAGGATGGTAAACCAGTGATCTGGAAATAGAACATGGCATCTGGTCAGCCTATCAGTGGTATTCCTTTTCCACCCGCCGGACGATCCCTCCAGTCGAACCCTTGGCTGAAGCGCCCACCCGTCACCCCGGGCGGCTAACCCACGATGAGACAGCCATGATGCGGGTGATGGGCATGGAGTGTGCTTCTAAACTTGGCAACAAACAAATGAACATGCATGATGCGTTTTGATATCGATGGTGGAACAAGAAAGGTATCACCATCGCGGCCCCTGCTCGTGCAAGGCTTTTATATGGACCATCCGCCATGTTCAGACGAGGCTGTCTCAGAACCAGACTGGCAGCCTTGGAGAAAGCCTTACTTCGATTCTTTTGACAAAGTATCTTGATATGGTCTGTGCTTGGCGAGGTTGTTGCATCTTGCCTATTATACTCTACTAATTAACTTGACTTCAATTTTATCTTGCCTGTTCCTCCAATCACCTCGACCTATCTTCTCTGCCCTGGCTAGACGTGCATCTGTCAGCACCGTGTCTGCTGCACCTTACCCTGCCTAGTCCCTAGCTACCAGGCCAACCGTTGGAGAGTCTGGGGTAGAAGCCTCCACTCTAGAGAGCTTATACTCTGCCATTGTCATGTGTTATCTCCAGCTATTTTAAGGCTGAGAGTTGCGTCCTTCCATCCAATCATCCTCCATCTCTCCACCTCCATCTCCACCATGGCCAGTATAGTCACCGGCCCTCTTGGTCGATTCCGTAAGAACGGATCCCACAAACGGCTGCACGAACGATGGGGCGACGTGGGCATCACCGTTCCCACCGAGGGCTCCTGGAACCAGCGCGACAACCCCCACCGGTCATCAGACCGCAGACGACCCGCCTACGAAGTTCTAAGTCGAGGACAGGATAGTCCTGTCGAGGATCATCACGAATCCACCCAACAATCCACCCAACCCAGCTCTTTCTCCGTCAAGGCGCTAAACCCGCGCCGTCTTTCCATGCGCATCAGCTCCCGCTCCAAACCCACCACCGACTACCCTAAAGAGAACACTACCCCCACCGACCGTCAAACCAAAGCAGAAAGACGGGTATCTCAATTCACCTACCGACCAATTCACCAAGATTATCCCACGGAGATGGCTGAAAAGGCTTCTCGACAGAGTCAGCACTCTCCCCGATTCAGGTACATCCCTACTGCACCTCAGTATGCTGAGGAACTTGGACTCCCGACTTCACGTCGCTGGTCGAGTCAGCGGCATAGTGTGCAGAGTAGTTGTCCGAGTGAGGGGACGCGACGGAGTCATCGCCGGTATCCTGATGCTGCAGAGGATTGCTACGAAGATGAGTACTATGAGGAGCGGAGAGAGCGGTATGAACGACCTTTATCTACTCGACGAGATAGGAGCAGTGTGGACTACTATAGTGCTGCTGCTAGTCGACGGGGCAGTCCGGCGTTGGGTCGCAGTGGGGTAGCCACAGAGAAGCGGGGCCGATCTGGGAGAAACTTGACGACAGCGATGGTCCCGGATGCCGATGATATTTATGGATAATTAATGATTGTTTTGTTGTTATGCCGAAACGGTTTAGCGATGCATTACTAGCTTCATGTGTGACGGCCGTGATGAGGACTTTAGCACATCTGCATATATTTATAGGGCGTTGGCGGATTTCTGAGCAAATTTCCGTTACATTTGGACTAGTCGTTCGACATAATGAATTTTAGAATTTCTTGGTTTTGATAATTAATATCCGGCTATATTTATCCTCAATATTTGTTACTAGTGATGCATCGTAGCATTACCCTAGATTACTAACACTGACTGCAACGCTGTCATAGCAGTAGCTAAGTACTTTGTAGCATTCCGAGACTGAACTGACGTCAACCTGATGGCCCGCCCTCACCACTACTTTCTAACAGCATCCCCAGGTAATTATTGTCCTCAAAAGTTCCAGGACTCCATTTCACAAAATTGAGAATAACCTAGCTGCAGATAAGATAAGAAAGCTCAGATTTAAACTCCATCACTCGTCGGAAGGCTTCCCGGACCAGGGCGAGACCATCAGGGCATGGCAGTAGTGATCAGGGCATGACGCCATCCCATCCGGCCATTCCACCGCAGTCCATGACGCCATGTTCACGCAGTCAACATAGAACTTCATATATAAGTAAATAACTGTATACCTTATGAAATGTTCCCCTTGGCCTAAATGGAGTATTGTCGAGTTTCTTCCAGAGACTAGTACATATCAATTGACTTTCATCATCTTCATAATGACAACCTCGGTATTTCAGCTTAAGTGCGGGATCAAGGTATGCATCAATTTATCACAAGATTTTACACAAATTTGCAAATTTAGCTGACGTTAATAGAATGATCCCTGGGGTAAGCAAGGTAAAAACTCGTTAGCTGGTGTTCTTTGCTCCAAGACGCCTGGTACAATTGAAGTGGAGGATGATCAGCATTATTCTGAGGTATGTCGCAGTACCCACCTTTTCAAAGATAATCATGTTAATTAGCTGTGACTAGATGTGGATGGGCACATATCCCACCGTCCCATCTCGTATCCTTGCCACAGGTGAACTGCTGAGCGAGTACCTCCAAAAGCATCCCGAGGTTACCGGCGAAGGATACAAGAAATGGGGTACGGAGGTGCCTTTTCTCCCGAAGGTAGAAGATCCCTACCTTATACTACCCCATTCCATCATCCTGTAATAAACACTAACAACATACTTGTACGAGTGAAGATCCTCTCCTTCCAAAAAGCCCTCCCCCTCCAAATCCACCCCGACAAAAAGCTCGCCGAGAAACTCCACGAATCCCAGCCAGACAAATACTCGGACCCGAACCACAAGCCCGAAATCGCCATTGCCCTCTCCAACTTCGAGCTCTTCGTCGGCTTCAAGCCCCTGCACGAGATTGAAAACCTCTTCAAACTCGCCCCTCTTCAACGCTTCCTCCCTACAGAGACCAACGCCCCTACCTTCGACGACTCCCTCCTACGCGAAATCTCCCGCATCCTACTCACTCTTCCACCCATACTGGTCTCCGAAACCATCTCCTCCCTGCTCACCATCCCAGAGGCCCAGTTCGGCCCGAACCAGCGATACATCCCTGGCTTACTGACAAGGTTGAAGAAGATGTACCCAGATACCGATAACGGGAGTCTTGTCGCCACAATCCTAATGAATTATATGACTCTTGGGCCTGGGGAGGCGGTTTGTGTGCCTGCGGATAGTATGCATGCGTACCTTACCGGGGATATCATGGAGTGTATGGCAAGGTCGGATAATGTGATTAATACGGGATTTTGCCCTAAAGCGGAGAGCGATGATGTGGATTTGTTTACGGGGTCGTTGAGCTTCACGCCGCATGACGTGGATAGCGCTCTTTTGAGGACGAAGAAAAGTGATGTTGGGAAGTGTTGGAAGACGGAGGTTTATGAGCCGCCGTTTTCGGAGTTTTCGGTGCTGGGGGTAAGGCTTGGGAAAGGGGAGAAGGAGGTGCATAGGGGGGTTAAGGGAGTGAGTTTGCTGGTTGTTGTGAGGGGGAGTGGGTGGATGGGTGTGGAAGGTGAGAAGTTTGAGTTGAAGGAAGGATGGGTTTATTTTGTGGGTGCTGGGGTTGAGGTGAATTTTGAGACGGAGGGGGGGTTGTTGGTTTATAGGCCTTTTGCGGAGTAGATTTTCCGTTTCCTCTTCTCTTTGATCTGTCAGTGAGTGTGGGAATTGGGAGGTTGGTATTTGTATGAACGATAGAGATATGTGTCTATTTTAAGTCCGGCTAGCCCTACAGAATTAGCTACAGATAGGATATGCTATTTTCGGCCCTCCCGGACCCTCATCGCGAATAAGCGCCCTCACAACATACTCTTTCCAAGCGCTCAGGCACCGCGACTCCACGTCTCTCATCCAATGGATCCCGTTAACACCTTATCTGGATGCTATTTTTGGCTTGGTATTTGCTTGTTCGTTCATCTCCACGAGTTGTGATGTGCGAGTCCCTGGTTGAGTGACAGGTTCGGTGAGATTAAAATAGATGCCGAGCGGGGAAAGGCACTTTTCAAGCGCCAGGATGGGATTGACTGGTGAGTTCAAGTAGTATTTTAAGTCGGAGGGTTCTCTGGTTCTTTTCGGTGGATTCGTCTGCATTCTGTTTTGTTTCGTTTTCTGGTGTGTTGTTTCATCGTTGTGCTGCGTGCGTTGGTGCTTGAAGCAAGCAAGAAAGTTGTCATCCATTCTGCTATCCACTCCACTCCACTCACTCCCATCTATCCGTCATACCCACCAAGGGGGTATGCACGATGATCCTGCCTCGTGATGGATATCCTCGTCAAGACTCATCATCGTCCGTGGAGTCTCCCTCGTCCGGTCGGGATCAGATCATCATTGGCGTGGTGTTTGGAGGAGTAGCAGTGATCATGAGTATGTTGTCACCTTCCATCAATCATTCCTTCCTTGCTATGCCATGAACATTGGGGCTCGACACCATCTCATCTCACTCTGTCCTGCAAGTCATAAGCGCCATCCTCCTCATCCGATGCAAGAAACGAAGCAATGAACGCCGTCATCGCCGTCAGCAGCAACGCCTGCTCGCCCATCATTTGTCTCAATCCACCACTGGGTACTATCAGTATCATCCTGACTTGGAAGGAAGCAAGCCTCAAACTCCCGAGTACCCACTTGAGATCACCTCCACAACACAGCAGGAACCTTCATCATGTCTTGAACAACAGCAACATCATCCTCAGCAGAGGGTCATTGAGGATCCCCCGCCGGCGTATCAGCCCCTCCCTGTGTATGACCCCTCTCGGTACCACGGGGTTGATGGCATGGTCGGTATCGCGGTGCCATATCCTGGGGTCACGGCTAGTATGTATCGGATGTCAGGACTGGGAATAGAGCCTCAAAGAAGAGTGCCAGATCGAGACTCGAATGCCTTTAGCTTTGCGGTCGAGGAGAGGCTGGATGTGCCGGTCAACAGGCCAGGTGGTGAGGCGGAGGAAGGCCAGTCGGTTCAACGACCTAGACCGGTGCTGTCACGCTTGGTGACGAATTTTGGGTAGGTTGAATATAGTCATGTCTCTCTTATGTTCCTATGTTGGGTGGTTGGCGTCATGGTTGGTGCTTTTGGGTGTTAAGGTGTTTGGGTTATGGCTTTAATGATGATTGACGATGTTCACGACGACAATGATGATGATAGGAGACTAGACTTGGGATGAAGACATGGATGGATAATGGTATGAAAGCCCCAGGTACGTATTTACTATTGTCTTTTCCATTCCTGTCTGTCCTTCTACTATTGTATCCTTTTCATTGCAAGTCACCTTCTCTTCTCCCCTCATCCTGGACGAACTGAGCCAGGATGGATCCCCGCTCCACCCAACCACACAATCACTTTCTTCATCACCTACATATCTCCCGCCTAAATTACTGTGCCAGGCATGGTGTGATGAGCCAAGGAAGATTGATGAGTGACTGCCAAAGAATTAAGCGTGGAGGAGCCCGAAGGCGGCAAGCCACTGGGGGCCCCCCTCCCTCCCCCCTCCCTCTTCCTCTTTTCTTCTTCCTCCACCACCACCACCTCTTCCTCTTCCACCTCTTCCAACCCACAGCTTTCCCACCATCTTTCCCCCCTCATGTCTCACTCTACTGCAGCTAGACAATCGGCCGGACTCGACTGCTGCACGGTGACAAGTGACAAGTGACCACTACGCTGGCCCTCGCGCGCCGTCTCCATCACGGCGCGTAGATAAGCTCGACGGGTGGTTCGGGCCCAACCGCGACGATCAACCGGTGATTGTCGCTGCTGCTTCCCCTCTTCTCCTCCTCCAGACCTGGTTCCCATCGAAGCTTCTGCGCCAATCAATTTTCCGACCTCCAACCCCCCGGTTAGCAATGCTACGTCGGAGTTGGGTGCGGCAGTCGAGCTGTCGATTCCAGTCCAGCTGCTGCTACTACTGCTACTACGACAACTAGTGGCATTCCTCATCACGCTCCCTCCCTCACATCGACAGGGATCTCGCCCATGCTGTAACCGCTGAGAGGTCCATTCATCTCCCAGAACAAGGATTGCCTTGTGTCACACCCATTCCATCTCTCTCGCAGCCGCTGGATGGACCACGCCAAGGGAGGACTATCAACTACGGCTGTGGTTGGATGTCGCCAACTTCCCGGAGTCTGTTAGCAGCTCCCTCCGGTAGGCTGGCTGCAGGTTGTCTGCAAGTTGACTGCGCCGCTCAGCTATTCTCCCGACTGCTCTCCCCTCTTTTACCATCTCCAGGCACGCGGACCGGTTCTGCTCCCTGCTCCAGAGGCTCTCCCATGACCAGTCACTGCGTCGGAATCGTCATCCCGCTTACAAAACAAAGGGCGATTCCCCTCCGGTTGACTGAGACTTCTCCCACTGGCCGCGTACGCCCGACGGGCCTCCCCACCCAGGGCGACAAAAAGTCCGCTGTGATGGAGGGTGAACCATTCTGTCGGGTTCAGGATGTGTCTGCTCGCCTTTCACCGTCCGTCCCGTTCGCTGGGCTCTGATGTTCATCCCTCTTCGCACTGAGGATCGTTCCCTGAAGGAATTCAGCGTTGGTCCCTGAAAGGGTCTTTCTTCTGCCATCCTGTGGGCGATATGCAGCCGGCTTTCGGCCGATGGATTCGACTGCTCGGTGTTCAACCCCCCGTTTTGACACTTTTCCATGCCAGTCTTTCGGTGGCTGTCTGGTCCCTGTTCCTATCTTACTTTCCTGTTCTAGGCAGCTTCGGGACCGGCTCGTGGGGGCCTCTGAAGCAGAGGCACCCGACCTAAATCAAACCCGTAGACGGCGGGCCCTTACATTTTAAGGTACCGTGGTTGGACTTGATCCTTCTTAACCTAGTTTTTCCTCCGAGTTCTTGGAGGGACCTGTGCGGTCGATGCTGACGCGGGCCCGGGTGCTCCAGCTCGACTACATTAAGAAAGGACGCTCTTGTGACCATGACGGCTATCATCCAGAAATTACGACGCAAGCGAAAGCTATCTTCAGAGCTGCACTCGCGATGGGGGGATGTCTCCATCACTTATCCAAACGGTGGGTCCTGGAGTCAATGGGATCAGTCTTCTACCGGCGCAACTTCAGTTTCTCCCGACCACGAGCGACGACATGGCTCGTTAGAACTCAATCGATCCTCCACGGCGCCGAGGCTGGGGAGTTACAGCCGCATTGGGGATGCCAATGTGCGCGCGCCATCCGTGGATTCAGCCATGACGATTCCCACCGGCCATTATGATGCACGACTTAGTCGAATACGAAGAAAAAACCAACAGCAGAGCCCTCCGGTCGGCGTGTCGAAAGTCCTGGATTCTCCCCGCGAATGCGACCATGCATCGTGTTCAGATGAGTCCTCTGAAGATGAAGAAGACGACGTGGCCGTGCCCGCTCCTCTAAATGTCTCCCGCGACCACAATTCAGCCGAGAAAGAAGAACCTGATGCCTATTCGCAAGCATCCAAATCGCCTCCCTTGTCGGTAACATCTCGCATGCGTAGTCGGCACAGCGCTCAGAGACACACGATGGACCCTCCGATGTCAGTACCTGGAACGGCCGGTTCGAAGCATACCAGCTACAGCTCTTCGGTGCCCTCAAATCCGTCGGACGACCAGCGACCGCAGGGACACCGTCTGTCTACGCAACATGATCGAAAATCGGTACGGCGCCCCAAGCCAGAGCCGCTGAGTTTACCGACACAACCTGAAATGGTGCCGTCGTATGATGAACTGTACGGGTAACTACCGGAATCTGGGGCAGGACCCATGGGAGGCTTTCTGTTTGATTTTTGAATTTTGCGTATATCACTTGCGTGCATGCTTGCTTGACTTTGGGGATGGCAGTCACGGCCGAGCTACGCCGGACTGGTCTACTTTGTCTGGGTGGATGGTATTCTTAATTCAGCCGTGAGAGGGCAAAAGATTTAACCTGCATGCATTGTGGCGTCTCATTCCTTTCGGGAGGCGTTTTCCTTGATTTTTTTGTTTAAGCTTTGGCTGATTTATGTGGACTTTTCTTATTACCTTTTTGGGGGTGATCAAATTGTTGGAAATCCGTTCATGGCGTGAAAGCTATTCCCAGCTAGTATGTTGGCGTGTCGCCGTAGGTGACAGCGACGGTCATCTTGACCCCAATCTATGGATTAGTGTGTCTACGTCCCAACAGCGGCAGCACAACTCCTCTCGAAGCGCCCATTAAGTTAGGGCGATCAACACAGGAGGGGTTGATAGATTCATTGGACAGCAATGATCCAAAATGAGCAGGGATGCTAATTAGTGGCAGTGGATGTGATAAGTAGGCAAGCAGCCAGTCACCCTGGGCCAATGCGGAGGCGCGAGTAAGCGCCGAACCCCGCGAGCAGGTCAGAGCTCGCCACCAATCTGCGGCCATCACGGCGCATCACATCCACAGCTTGCCTGCAGCTCCATGCCACTAGCCGCCAATGAACGTGCATCCTGGCAGCGGCAGGAGTTGCTGCACTGGCCGTCACAGTCACCGTCACACCTCCCTCAGAGACAGCCCGCTTTCGCTGCTTCTGAGAGGCCCTCGAAGCGCCCGGGCTACTGCTCCTCACTGAGCTCGTTGGACCTTCCTCACCCCATCCAAGAGGCAGGCATGTCTGCCAATCCGGGACGGAACGGTGTCTCCCCTCCTCGGCCCTCTGCTTTATCAATCCACCATGGCACCGATCCTGCCGTTTAACCGACGATCTATCTGGGTTGGGACCGGTTCACCTTCACATTTCTACCCTCGCTTTCCCCATCGTGTCATACCCGGTTGTGCTCCCTCTCTGCCTCTTGCTGCGCGGTGCTCTCGGCGCGGGTTCTGTCGACTGCACTGTCTCCAGCCTTCCCTCGTTTGGTCGTAAGATAAAACGGTAGCATTGGGAGGTTATCGTGCCGTCTCCGACGCTCGATCGAACCAAAGCAAATACCAAGATGCTCGGCTCTTGGGGTCTAAGCCCCAGATCTACATCGAGATGGGCAGCGGCTGCCGCAGCGGCGTCTTTCCTGCTCGTCAGCCACGTCGCAAACCCCGCGACAGCGTTGTACGTGAGCGAAGGCTCCCCATGCTGGGATGTCTGTAATGACCCCACCAACACCACCACCTCGGAGATTGTCTGCATGGACGCGGCCTACAACGACACCACGACTGGCAAGAACTTCAAGGAATGCGTCTCGTGTGCGCTCAACAGTACCTACACTGATCCCAGTGGGTTGGTGACGGACGTGGACTGGGGATTGTGTAAGCCTGCTCCATGCGCGATCTAAAATCTGTTGTTAACGTGGTTAGATAACCTCCGCTATGCGTTCAGCGCCTGTATCTACGGTTACCCGGCGGGCGTCGACAGCGTCTCGTCGCAGTGCTTGGTTTCCTGCCAAGGACTAGACAGCGCGATCGAGTTCGAATTGCTCACTCCGAACGATATCAATCTTCGCGCCTGGTGCTCTACCTCCACGTTTGCCGATAATCAGATAGACACCTGCGAGTTCTGCTACAACTTGACCGAAACACAAGTGCTTATGGCAAATTGTGAGTTTCCCAGCTCTTCTGTACGAGTTTGACTAACTCGAAGGTCAATAGTCATCGAAGCCCTCCGCTATGACTGCCACTTTCCCGTTCCGTCCCAAACAGCCTTCCCGATCAGCCCGTCGTTGATTTTTGCCCAGGAACAATTACCTACCTATAGCAGCGACCTGCTGGACACGCCCAGCGGGGGCGGGGTGAACTATAAATTGGCAACTCTCATCGGTCTGCCGCTCATGGGTTTCGTGATTCTCCTTTTCATCTTGACTATCGGCTGTGTACTCGGCATCAGCTGGTGGCGACGCCAAGAGCGTGAGGACGAGGAGTTGCGCCAGTGGAAGGCCATGGCGGCGGAGAATCCGTGGAGCGAGTACCCGCCGCCGGAGATGTACTCGCAGCCGCAGCAGATCACGCAGTACGGTTCGGGATTCCAGGTCGTGGATACTGATGGTCGCACTCATGAGGTGGGGTACTCCAAGCAGGTGATGATGAATGTGTCTGAAGATAAGGGGAAGAGTCCGTCGCAGGAGTATCCGGGGGAGTTGAAGCTGTGATGCGTAGAAACTTGTCGGCGGCGTACTGAAATGATGGAGAAGTAACGTCTAAGTGGGTGAATGGTGCATGCCTTTATTGTTGTTCCTGTCATATCATTGTTGTTCTGTTTTGATGTGCATAATGAGGCATATACCCCCGCATTGCTGGTGCACATAATGTCTATCGAGTATGAGTATGAATAATGAGAGAAGCGAATACCAAGTTGTGAACAATCCAGAAAGAACCATGTATCCCCAATTGAAAAAGTATGGGATAGAAGATAATCCAATAAAAACTGCACCACAAGAAAAGAACAAAACCGAAGAGAAGGAGGAGGAGGAGGAAGAAGAGGAATCATCCCCCAGTACTTTATACCCCCTCCCTCCATCTCCATCCCGTTCCACACATAACCTAAATAAAGACAAAGTTACAACGACAGAGAAAGGATAGATAACCGCCCTCGGCATCCTGCAAGGCCCCATCCATCCACAGCTCAACTCAATACCCTCCAGAAGAAGAATGAAGAATGAAGAAGTTTCAAGCAGATATGTACCAAAAATAAACACATGGGATGAAGATATCATGGATCTGTGAAGGATTATTGGATGATGTTGTGACGTGCCAAGCTAGGGGAGATGTATGCCAAGATGTGATGGGTTTCGGGATTGGGTTAGTGTTGTTAGTGTTGTTATTGGATGGTGGGGGAAGATGAGGGGGGGGTTAGGCAGCTATTTTACTCCGTGGTGGTTAGATGGTGTAGTGGGATATTTTTAGATGGATGATTCTGAGATATAAAACGGACAGGGGAGGGGGAGGGGGTATAGGTATAGGTATAGGTTTAGGTGGTGGTGGTGGTATTAGCAATCTGTATTTGGCGGTTGTAGATTAGTAAAAATGAGTTTATGCATGTTGTATTCTTCATCGGGGTAGTATGGTGTACTATTAGGACTACTTGATTCTTCTTTGAGTAGGGGGGCATATGCATGGTAGTATCATCAATGTAGAATAGTAGTGAACATGACAGCTACATAATCCCTTGAACTGGATTGGAGGTAACCCTGTCTTCTGTACTTGACACTGCATTGTACACCTATCCAACATTAAACTCATTGAGGTATATTAGCAGCTACCTGCTAACATGCTCATGAAAAAAATCCACATAATCAAAAATACTCCTCTTATACCTCCGCTGCCACGTCCCATCTGTGCGATCCACACTCTGCATCCCATACTGGTTCGCATAACTCCCGAACTCATTATTGTCCAGGTAACTCCACGCCAAGGTCCCAATCACGTTTACTCCATCTTCGTGAATCGCTTTCAGCATCTCCCCCAGAAAGTCCTGGTAGTATAGCGTACGCTCCAGATCATACCGCTGCGCGTCGCCCTCCTTTAATGAGTCGTCGAATGGGTTGAAGCCGAATTCTGAGATTACTATTCCCGATGGCTTGAATGTGTTCCAGACGTATCCTAGCTGCTGGCGGACGTATTGTGGTGCGATGGAGGAGTAATCGTTTGACATATCGCCCATGAGCCATCCGTCGGATTGGATCATGGTTAGGGTAGCGCATTCGGGCCATGCGGAGTTGGAGGAGTTGGCTGCGCAGGCGGAGATTCCTTCTGGCGGCGGGAGGGCGAATTGCGCGACGTAGGGGTCGAAGGCCCAGAAGTCGATGGTGTTGTTGATGGTGGAGATTTGGGAGTCGGTCAGTGGTGTGAGGTTTAGGTTTGGGGTGTTGAGGACAGAGGAAGGGTACTGTTCGCCGAGGAATAATGGGTTGGCCATGATACCCAGGACGAAGTCTTGGTATCGGAGGGCGGCGTCGACGTGGCTGCTCTTGGCGGGGTCCTGGGGAACGCCGAGGTTGTTGGCGAATTTCATGGTGATCTGGCCGGTGCCTTGCAGCTCTTCTTTGTACCAATGGTAGACGGCTGCGTGGGCGGTTAGGACGTGAGTGAGGTCGTTGTAGGAGCTGAAGGCCATGCCAATGCCGATGTTCGGCTCGTTGAAAGTCACCCAGTAGGGGACCCGGTCTGCATACCGGGTCATTACTTGTTTCGCGTAGTAGAGGAAGTTGTCTGTGAGGGTGGAGTAGTCGGTAGCTTGAGCTGCCGGGAAGTCGAAGTGGTTTAGGGTTACGATGGGGGTGATGCCGTATTCGAGACAGGTGTTGATCACGTCGTCGTAGTGCTGGAGTCCTTCGGTGTTGATAGGTGAGTTGGCTACGCCGAAGGGGACAATTCGTGACCAGGAGATGCTGAATGAGAGGTAAGGGATGCCGATAGCAGCTAGTCGGGCAATGTCCTGTTTGTACATGTAGTAGCCCAGGTCGGCGATGTTGGCATCGGACGAGTTGTCGTCACTCTGAATAGCACCAATGGTGTCCAGAATAGACGGGCCGCGGCCTTCAAGTTTCAGGCCTCCTTCGATCTGCCATGCGCTTGCTGCGACGCCCCAGATAAAGTCCGATGGGAGCTTCAGATCTGCATAGTCAATTCTGTTGTATAGAGTAGGAGGGTACACCAGTTCGCTAGAGGGAACCGGTGTAGGAGAGACGGTAGTTGTGATTGGAGGCGCAGAGGTATACGACAGGTTGGCCCACAATGCAGCATACGCACTTTGTCCATACTGTCCGTCTGCAGAGGGAGTTTGACTCGACTGCAAAGAGTATGTGGTATAGGTCACGTTGCTGGGAAGCAAGGTTGAAGCGTCGCTAAATGCTGGAGCAAACGGCGTAGCAAACGACAGCGGGGAACTCAGTGAAGTTGCATAGCGAGTTGAAGTGACCTGCGTGTAGCTAAAGGAACTGTAGGAGTATGAGGTTGCTCTTGTCGCCTCGGCTTTCTGCGTCACAGGCGATGCACAGGCGAGCTGGCTGCTGCCAGCTGCGCCAAAAAGCACCAGCAAGGTGAGAAGATCAGTCATTTTCAACGAAGCGGGCTCCTGATGCCTGACCCCAGTGACATTTCTGCATCATAGCAGTATGTCTCTGCGCTTTAAATACCACTTCCGTGGCCATTTCTGTCGGAACTGAACAACGGCAGTTCTTCGGGTAAACTGCTTCTCACGGGGTTTTAGATGGCACTATCTGGCTATATTCATTGTCCATGCGCTGTCTGCTCCAATAGAAACATAACGTTCTGCGGAAAATATGTTGCGGCAATGGGCACGGAATGAGGAGCCGGGGTGGAGGACGATCCCCCACAATCCCTGACGTCAACCATGAGACCTGGGGTTGTTGCAAGGGTAAAGTGTGGGGTGCTGTATCGGCACAGGCCTCGTGGGCCCTATAATGCGGGGACAGATTATTGGAGGATTCGGGGGCCGGTGTCGATTGGGACGGCATATGCGGGGATTAAGTCGGGGTAATGAGATTGAAGAACAAGGAGACCATATGGCCTTGCCTGGGACATTCACATATATCACACCATAAACCTAGATTATGACTATCGCTATAGGGACGATTAGTCCACTGGATAAATTACTGGGAATTACTTGAATATGTGTTTGGGCGTACCAACCAACTTGTTGGGCTATCATCTTCAGTATTGCATTGCAAGATGGATTCACGTTGACATTCTCATGCATGATCTAATGTCCTTGTATCTCTTGCCTCGCTGACAGGGATCAGGTTAATCGTCTTGCCACTGCCCGGCAGAAGCGAGATCGCATTTAGCTCCCTACGCGGCTGTCTCCATGAACTCCTTCCACGCTGACAAGGAAACGAGTCCCTGGAAGAACCGACGGGCAAATGAAGGAGGACGCATCGTAAGGCACAAACTGCATTTCGGAGAATGAGGCGGCTGCCAATCTACGGGCAGACCATTGCCCACGCGCCGGAAAAATTCCGAGTATGAACGCGGCGTCAGCAAATGCGTGCTCCAGACCCACATAGTAGGATCTGTCAAATCTATCTTGGACAGATCAGGACCCCACGATAAGAACCCCTTGCCTTGCCCTCGCAGGAACGCAATGTACTGAGTCACCATGTGTGGTGAGTCGAAATCAGTTTCGGACAGATTTGTATCCTGCATTGCTGATGCCGACTCCAACACCCTCGTCACAGCAGCACGCAGATTGCAGGAAGAATTCTCCACATATTGATAGTGCTCAAAGATATCATGAATCATAGGTAGAGCTTGCTTCACCACTGTTCGGCCAAGGGATTCGATGGTTTGGCTCAGATTTGGGAAAAGATTAGTTGGGCGCGTCTCTTCGAGAAGCATGCTCATGAGGTATCGTTTGACGAAGTCATTTGGTGCCTTCTTAGGAGTCAAAGTGCCGTGTTTTCCCTCCACGCTCCAGCAGGTCCCTGGCAATGGAAGATCTCTGCGCAGCAGTAGATCTAAATCTTCACGGAGCTTCCGGACAACAAGAACGTGGTTTCCGAGAACATATTTGCACGATTGGCAGACTTGGAGCAAATCCTCTGCGAGGCCTTTTCTGCGTCGCGTCGACCACGGCACGACGGTTCGGTTTTGACACCGGGGGCATTCGATAGGCACACCGTCGGCGTCATCCAGATTGTCCCAAGCCAACTTTGTCATGCCTTCGAAGTGCAGTTTGCAGGACTCGGGGCACGAGTAAGTGAGGTTATCCGGTTCGATACATTGTGAAACTAGCTGGAGGGGGAACCCTTCGTTCCATAGTGCCATCCTTTTATGTCGAAAGCAATCCTCTCCGAAGGATCTATGATGTAGTATCAATGCATGAAATACCATTAAAACATCTATTCCGTCCGAATCAGTCAGTCATAGTTCCCCGATGATGTGTTTGCGAACGCCTACCTAACGGAGGTAACTCGGCCCCTGTCCATGCCCACCCGCTGTGCTGTGCATACGGCTTCTCTGATATTTTACTTGATTCTATCTCCAAATCTGCGGGTAATTGAGCCCACCAAACGGAGAATCGATGAACAGCCCGTGAGATATAGATTGACCATCGGCGCTCCTCCATCATGGACTGTCGAGCGATCGGGTCCACTTCGGACTTTATTTCGTAGTCATACTCTGTCTTGAA